TCAAAACAACCCAATTGCTGGGTTTGTCCCTATTTTACCCAGCACTGGGTTGTATTTAACCCAGCATTTTTTAGAGTGTATAAATCCATTAATTATGAAGCCAGTTAATTTAATTCAGTTAAAAAGTATGAACAAAAATATGACTAGCTGCAGAACACATATTATTTTGAGTGCATGATGAAGTGTTTATTTTGGCGCAAACTGTTCCTTTAAAACAAACAACTGTTTGAAAGTTGGGTTATGCATGAATTACGTTTTTGCGTTGTTTTTAAACAACAATTAACTGTCATTTTGAAATCCCTTCAGTTCTCTATTAGACAGAATTTCCAAAATGTTATTATATTTGTTCCCTTTATTAAATGAATCAATCTAAATCGTATAATGTCTTCTAACATGTTTGTTTTTTTGCTTTTTCAACAGATGAAAACCGGACTTGCCCTTTTGTACGACGAACACACAAGTAACACATACGACGTTCGTTTAAAGTTAACGAAAGAGCTGTTAATCATACAGAAGCAGGATGTGGTTTGCGTGAGCGGCGGTGACTCCCATCTAAATGTAAGTACTGAGTCTTTACCTTCGATTCGATCATGACTCAAACACGTTTATCATGTGCTCATCACTGCGAATCACAGTCGGCCGCAGGAGAGTGTTTTGTTGACAGATTACAGAACAAGATGCATTAGACAAGTTTTCATTACATTTGACATCGTTGTCATGAAGCACAGACCACTTCATTGTTTCATGAGATGCAACACCATCATCATCATCATCATCATCATCATTCATAAAAGACGTCAGTGGCTTCACGCTCCGGCCCCTGATGCTGTCAAAACACAATGACAGTCATTAAATGATGCACAGTGGAGAACCCAATATAGTCATAATCAACATCATTAGTGGGGTTAGAGCATCATTATAATCTGTTGTATAACTATAAGTGACCTGATCCATCATTTAGAGTCACTTTGACCCAGAAACACATTTTGAGTTTTGTGCAATTAAAGGAAAGTAAAAAGGAAAGCATCGGCTTTCTAATGGTGTAATTATGTTTCCACTCTAAAGTGAGATTTTGGCCATCATAAACCTTTGTTACTGAAAAAATTTTTGCAATCCTTTGGATGTTATTTGATAGAGTTTTATAAAGTCTTCCCATTTGAATTGATCAACTTATTCCCATAAAGATTGCTAAATCATTACAGTGATTTGTCACACTACTTAAGGTGAACATTGTTTGAATATCTTGATAAAATTGGAAAGTTGAGATGTGTGTATTTATTTCTTTATTTATTTTTAATGTTATTTAAAAAAATAGACACATAAACAGTAAAAATGTATTTAGTTTTCGTTTTAGTTTATTTCCCCCCTAATATTACCTACAGGTGCATCTCAATAAATTAGAATGTCGTGGAAAAGTTCATTTATTTCAGTAATTCAACTCAAATTGTGAAACTCGTGTATTAAATAAATTCAATGCACACAGACTGAAGTAGTTTAAGTCTTTGGTTCTTTTAATTGTGATGATTTTGGCTCACATTTACCAAAGACTTAAACTACTTCAGTCTGTGTGCATTGAATTTATTTAATACACGAGTTTCACAATTTGAGTTTAATTACTGAAATAAATGAACTTTTCCACGACATTCTAATTTATTGAGATGCACCTGTATATTTGAAAGTTTTCAAATGTCTTTTTTAATCTTATTTAAAAAATAGGCACGTGAACAGTAAAATAAATATATGTTTGTATTTATGTATTTATTGTTGTATTTATTCATTTGCCTGATATTACTTGTTTTTGAAATTTGAGGCTTTATGTTAATTCATATTATTTAAAAAAAACATTCAACACATAAGCAATACATTTTTAAATTTCATTTAATTTCATTTAATTTCATTTCATTATTTAATTTTATTTGATTTTATTTAATTTTATTGCCTAATATTACCTGCACGTTATGGAAGTTATGGCTTTTTGTCTTTTTAAAATGTTTACACTAGACATAAACAGCATAATTTATTTAATTATTATTATTTTTTTTTTTTTTACTTTAGCCTGATATTATCTTTATAAAGCATTTTGTTTTTAGGCTTCAACTGAAGTGATGCCTTATATGACCACTTCTTTCTTTATCATGTGTTATGTGGTTGATGCTATGAATATTTTACCAACTAAATTCCCATTTTTTAAAGCACAGAACTGTTGTACTTCGAAGACAGCTGACTGGAGGTCTCGGTCTGAGTATCAAAGTAGGTCTTTTGCTTCTTTTAATATCGTTCATTCACTTTAAAGAGCTTAATTAAACACGCTCAGGTAGTGCACGTGTATCTCCACAGGCCAGATAATTATTGCACAATATTAGCCTTTTAAAGATCAAAGAGAATCTTGATATAAGGATCAAGTCTCATTAGTTTTATTCACAATAATCTTTGAAGAGGCAATAGATTTATATTTCTGAACAGTGCTGGATGTAAGATGTAGAAGTGAATTTCCTTGACGGCTCTTCATGCATTTCAGGGGGGAGCAGAACATAAAGTGCCTGTGGTCATCTCAAAGATTTTCAAAGATCAAGTAGGTAAGATGACAAGCGTTCCTCCCATCCGCTGTAAAGCAAAGCAAAGCACAGCGCTAGCGATAACTGCTAAAGGAATGGTTCACCCAAAAATGAATTTGCTGAAAATGTGCTCACCCTCAGGATATCCAAGATGCAGATGACTTTGTTTCTTCATCAGATTTGGAGAAATGTAGCATTGCATCACTTGCTCAGCAACAGATGCTCTGCAGTGAATGGGTGCCGTCATAATGAGAGTCCAAACAGCTGATAAAACTGGAGGAAGCGTTATTATGGATTATGCACTATGGTTTGAAGTTAAAACTGTTTAAAAGGGATCATGAAATGCTTTTTCTAAATATTATTTTGTATATTTTGTTTTATTTTCTGAGGTACACTTATAATCCTAATGTTTTTTTTTTTGTCATCCAAAAACTGTCATAATTTACAGATGAATGGTCATTTTCTATCCTGAATTTCACCTCTGATTTGGATGCTCTGTTGGAAGGGACTCCGCTGCAATGGAAACGCCCACTGCGGTGATTGGCTAACATATTTGCATATGACATGAGCATTACATGTGGAACTCTCTCAAAAACTTGACTGCATTTTTAGTGTTATCATGAAAAGCGTTGGGTAGCATTATAATTAGAACGACTTCCTTTGCGTCAAGTTTGCAGCCAAGCACAGTCATGTTTACTAAAACAATGATTTGTTTCTTACAAACACGCAGCTTTTGTCTTCTCAAGATGTTAACTGATGGACTGGAGTGCTGTGGATTACTTGTGGATTATTGTGATATTTTTATCAGCTGTTTGGACTCTCGTTCTGACGGCACCCATTCACTGCAGAGCATCCATTGCTGAGACACTGATGCAATGCTACATTTCTCCAAATCTGATGAAGAAACAAACTCATCTACATCTTGGATGACCTGTGGGTGAACTATTCCTGTAATATACGGTGTAAGATCTTGTAGAGTACAGTTCTTCCTACTTTTGTTTTTCATTTAAAATAAATGCACTGCACAGCCTAAATGTAGTCCGTTTGATATCCCTATAATTAGCACTTGCTCGCATTATAGTTTATTCATCACGAGTGTCTGACAGCAGCTGCTAATGTGTGATTAGAATCAGTATTTGAGAACAGTTTATCTTCGTTGCATGCTATAGAGTTCAAATGTATTTTAATCACGGCTAATTCAAGACTCTGTGCATGTCGGCCTGCATTGCATTTGCAGTTTTATTGCTTTTTATTAGCTTCCCGCTGTCCTTTCTTACTTCTGAGACGCTAAGCGTAGAAATATATCCGCCCTTGATACCAGAAAGCTTTTGAAGTTTCATCATATTTGTCAGAAGGCATTGAACTAAAACCCAGATTTGTGTGAAATTCGTCCCAAAGTGCTTTGCTAGATCGAAAGGCTCATCAAATTCAAATCCTGATTGCCATGTCATCGCATTAAAGCACTATTAAATGAGTAATTATGTCCCAATCTTTCCATTAACCTCTGGCCGGACCGTCCGGGGCCGCAGCCGATCAGACGGGGATGCTGTTTATCGGTGACGCCATGTTGCAGGTCAGTGTTTCGGGCTTTTGCACGCTCTCGCTCCTGACGCGGCCCTCGGGGGCCAAGGGTGCATGTTAGAGCGCCGTTCCCTCTGCATTTTAATGACGCTTCCCTCTGATTCATTTTCTCTGGCTTGACTGGAGGTTTAACCTTTATCTCATTGCATGAATCAGAGGAACAGCAACAGAGAGAGCGAGAGAGAGCAAGAAATAGAGTAATAGTTCCTGTGGTGCGACTTGAACAAATGGTTTTATTACATTTTGAATGTCATTGAAGCTCTTTATATGTAGGCCCTATAAATACACTTACAGTACAAGTGTGAGACCACAAACTCTTGAGGATCACCAAGTCGGATTCATTTCAGTTAATTTGGCGGACAGTTTTTATATTTAATCAATCAAAAAACTTGCAGCATTTTAGTTTCATAGTAGAGGATGCAGGTAAATGCTGCTGTACTGTACATTTACTACTAACTGAGAGTGTATTCAGAGTTTTTATGCCACAAAATTATGGGTCTTATTAAATTATATAATTTCTTTAAAAAAAATCTTTCTTACAGACCTCAAACTTATAAACGGCTGTGTGTATATAATAATTAATATGTTTGTATACAGCTGTGACGACATTTTTTAAAACTATCAACACTAAAATTAAAATGAAAACAAAATATAAAATTTTATATTTTATAATTAACTAAAATCATGGGTCTTATTAAATTATATAATGGAATAAAGATACAATTAAAATGAATTTGCACCCTTAAAATGTGTGTGTGTGTGTGTGTGTCTGTGTCTGAGTGTGAGTGTGAGTCTGTGTCTGTCTGTCTGTGTCTGTCTGTGTCTGTGTCTGTGGGTGAGTGTGAGTCTGTGTCTGTCTGTCTGTCTGTGTCTGTGTCTGAGTGTGAGTGTGAGTCTGTGTCTGTGTCTGTCTGTGTGTGTCTCTCTGTCTGTGTGTGTGTGTGTGTGTGTGTGTGTCTGTGTCTGTGTCTGTGAGTGAGTGAGTGTCTGTGTGTGTCTGTGTGTGTGTGTCTCTCTGTCTGTGTCTGTGTGTGTGTGTGTGTGTGTGGTGAAATTAATAAGAAATGTATGTATTTATTTATATTTAATGACATTAATAAGAAATGAATGCTTATTGCCGCAAGAATGGATTACAATTTTAACATTTCAAATTTAAAAGTGACAATAAAAGTGACGATAAAGACATTTATATTTATATTTCGAATAATAGCTGTTCCTTTGAACTCTCTATTTATCAAAGAATCCTGAAAAATAAAATGTATCACAGTTTCTACAAAAATATTCAACAGCACAACTGTTTTCAACATTGATAATAATCAGAAATGTTTCTTGAGCAGCAAATCAGCATATTAGAATGATTTCTGAAGATCACGTGACACTGAAGACTGGAGTAATGATGCTGAAAATTCAACGTTGATCACAGGAATAAATTACATTTTACAGTATATTCACAAAGAAAACAGTTATGTAGAACAGTAATAATATTTCACAATTTTACTGTTTTTCTGTAAAATTTTTGGATCAAATAAATGCAGCCTTGGCGAGCAGAAGACTTCTTTTAAAAGCATTAAAAAAACTTGCCAACACTTGAACGGTAGTGTACTTAAAAGTACAAAAAATATTTCTAAAAATAAAACGTGTGGTCGTATCACAGTGAATTTTGCAATAACTGTGGCTGTCATGAAAATAATGTCAAGATACACATTTTGGGGTGAATTGTGATCTCAATATGTTTTTTTCTGTGCAGGTCAATGGCATTAACGTGGAGAAGTGTACACACGAGGAAGTCGTGAGTATCTGATCAGCTTTCATCCGTGTTCTTGAAATGACATTGATGCAGAATCACTCAGATTCCACTGAAGCGCTCGGTGCTTTATATCAGCAGCGAGTGATTCGCTTCTCTCTGAACGGCCTCAGCTGTACCTGATCGATAGCGAGTAGATTCATCTCGAGAGAGAAAGGATGAGATGCTCGCTCGCTCCGCTTGGTTCTTCTCTGTGATCCTGACAGCTGCTCCTCACATCTCCATCCGGACGGGATTAGTGATTACACCGAACAACCGCAGACTAACTAAGACATAAGACCAGTTATACATGAGAGAAGATGACAGAAATCATCCTGTAGGACAGAAACATCACAAATCAGATCTGTAATGATCAGTGGAGATCAAATGAAGGTTTATTCAGATCCCAATGTCTCTAATCAAAAGATTTCAATGTGAGCTCAAATGTTTCAAGTTCCTCCAAGATCACATTCATTTTATAGCTCTATACTCGTTTTCGGTAACACTTTACAATAAGGTCTCATTTGCATTTGTTTAGAACAGATATATTTGTAGCTAGATTTATTTATTACATATTTATCTAGCAGTCTTTGTTATATATTTGTTTTTAAAAAATACAATCAATTATTGTTTGTTCACGTCAGTGTTTTAGTATCATTGAGATACTTTTATAGGGTTTTTTTTTATATTTTGAATTAATTTATATTTTTATGTTTAATGTTTTTATCAAATATAATATATAATTTTATATTTACTGTTTTCATTTTAATTTTTAGTTAAAGTTTTAAGAATTTAGTTGTGTGTTACTGTTGTTATTATTATTATTATTATTACATTTTTAGTTTAGTTACATGTAGTTAGCTAATGTTAACGAATTAAACCCTATTGTAAAGTGTTACCTCATTTTATTTGTGTCTTTTTATTTCCTCCAAAGAAGTTTTAGGAGAAACACTTGAGAGACAAAGTTAATGCTTCATTGAAGCGCAACTAAAACTTTCCTGTGCAATAAAAAAGCAATCTGGGGTTTTACATACTCTAGTTGTCTTATGTTTGAGATGCGAGACCAACCTCAAGAGATCATTCGGAAAAAATGTGAATGGTTTCTTAAAATGGTCTTTTAAATATGATTAATCGATTAGAACCAGAACTGCGTGGTCAAATTCATTGACAGGTTACACAACACTCATGATTCTACATTTTATAATCTAGTTTAAAAATCAAAATATCTCTATATGAGCTCAAACATGTCTAGTTTTAAATTAAAAAAGCTTATTTGCATGAATGCCCCGGGTTCGGCTTCCATCGAGGAATGTCTGTGACTTTAGATTGAAGGCATCTTGAGTTTTGGAGCACAAACACACATGAGGGTTTCTTGGCGAATACGTGGTTTCTTTTAGAATCAGCTCTCTGTGGAAATGTTGTACAAGTGTGTCCTGTTTTCATCAGAGAGGGAACACTCAGATTTGTGGTTATGATTAAATGAAGTCTAAAATTCAACATGTGATCAGAACTGATCCTGTTTCTGGTGGTCCTTCACAATCTGCTGCAAACTGCATTCAGATCTGACTTCTGATATTAAACACACTTTTCAACATCACATCAGTTCCTGATGGATAATATCAGTTTCACCCTGTTTTCTTTTCTTTTTTTGTAAAATGTGTGTTAATACCTTTTAATGCTGATTTTAAGTTCTCGTCATGTACTGAAAGTACAAAATCTACCCATTTTCAAAACAACTGATATGAAGCAGAAATAAAGAAAAATTGGAAAGCTAGAAAATAAGATGGAAAATTAGAATTGTTGCCTTAGCAACTAACTGAAATTAATGAAACTGAAATGAATGGAATTATTAAAACTAACTGAATTACTAAAATGTCAAACATGAATAACAAATTTATGTGCGACCAAACAACATTCCCATCATTCTCTGTAGCAGCACAATAATGATAAACTAAATACAGCATCAATTACACCAGTGTTATTCTTGTTATCATTTATCTACCATTACAGTATTTAAATATATAAATATTTTGAATTGGCTTTTGTTTTCATATTTTCAGTTTTCATTTTAATTGTAGTTTTAGTAATTTTGTTATGTAGTTAATTTAATTCGTTTTTTGGTCTTTTTAAAATATTTCTATTTGGCTTTCATTTATTTGTATTTCGGTTTTACTAATTTTAGCACATTGCTAATTTTCATTTAAGATTTTCAGATTTATGATTTTCTTCTAATATTTATGTATTATACAAATAAATAAAATGTAATAAACTAAAATTAAATAAATTGAATTTAAATTGAATGCATCCTTGCAAAGTAGAATTGCAATATTATGTTACATCTGGGTTTACTAAAATGGGGTTTGCAAGTTTATAAAAGGCTAATAATGATTGAAATCATACAAATGTAAAATTAAGATTAATCATTTTAAAATAAAAATAATAAAACAACAACAACAACAGCAGCACTGATATATATATATATATATATATATATACA